AAAAAAATTAAAATTAACACTCTCAATGTACCACTGGATCTTAAGAACATCCTGGGCTTATTTCCTCTCTTTCATACAATAGCCACTTTCATGTAGTGAAAACAGACCACAAGTCTAAAAGTACACCGTAACATACACAGAATGGTGGTAAAACAAACAAACAAAAAAACTAGATGGTCACGTAATAAAAACTGTTTTAAATTAATGCCAAATAAAAACATACTTTAAAACATTCAGGAAAATACCAAGCACTTTCCCAAAGTCACAAATAAATTACTTCTATCACTTACCATCACCTCTATATTCTTATGAGGTTCCACAAATCCATTAACAGTTAACTTACGCAGCACTGAAAAGTAAAAGCAAGCTTTATTTGAACCTTATTTCTTCATATTTTATCTAACTAAAATCCCAATCATAATAAAGATTCAGAATCACAAAACCTAATCAAGCTTGGAGGTTAATCTGGCTTAATCCTCTCATTTAATAATACATAAAGAAAAGTAACCCCTGGTCATTTGGTTGGGTAGTTAGGGGGAAAAATGGAACTAAAGCCTAGTTCTTCTGACTCACAAAAGCAGTGTTCTACTCAGTTATCGTAAGTACTCATGGGGAGAAAGGAGGGGCAAGACGTAAAAAAAGAAAAAATAAATAGTAAGTACTCATGTTTCTAAAACTATATTACAGGATTGAATTTATATAATTATTAGTACTTAAACTTTAAGCTATGACTCAAGAGAGACCAAAAACTTCATTCAGTTTTAAGCTACATTAATGGAAATACAGTATCTTCTAAAAGAGACACAAAAATTAAACACAATTTCCAAATCTGATATAGACTATAGAGCTCAATTGTAAGTATGACATTTTATGAGTAACACTGACAAATTAGCATACACAGAAAGATAAGCAGGATAACAGATTTTAAGTATGAGCTAGATTTAAATCCTTGTTCCACTGAACACAGCTATATTACTTTAGGCAACTTTTCTAGATCTTATTTTCCTCATCTGTAAAATGTGGTTAATAAATCCTACTTCGTGGGGTTATTAAAGAATCTAATGACACATGTGAAAACAGCATAATCGAGCAACAATGATGACAGCATAAGAAACAGAATTTAAAGTCAATTCATTAAATAAGCACTGCTATATTACTAAAGAATTATCCTTTAGATACTTTTCATGAGGTGAAGTCAAAAGGCAACACATTAAAATTAGCTTTAGAATGTAACT